TAATATTGATGTCATTTTTCTTATTGTCAACCATATGTATGTGCACAGTTCTTGATATTTTTGACTTGTACAGATGTGAGAGCTTCAAACCAAAATATATTTTAGTAAGTTTAAATAGTTAAGTGATATTTCTCAAGTATTTGGTAATAACTAAGACTAGAAAACTACAAATATTTTAAATTTATAAATGTCTCTACATATCCTTAGTGTAGATATTTTACAGTCTGATCTAAAAATTCTGTTTTTTTGTTTTGAAAATAAATGTAGTCAAACTTTTCTTTCCTAACAAAATGTTCAAAAAGAATAGTGATTTTTTTTTATTTAAAGATATTATAATTTCAATTCTCAAAATCCAACCTAAGTCTTTTGATTGTGATTCAAAATTTGGCTCTTTTTATCTATAAAATCAAAAAAAATTATATTCTCTTATTTTTATAATTTCTGWTTATTTTATCCATTTTATGTAAGAAAAATATTTTTGTGAAATTTAAATTTAATATTAATTTAAGTACAATGRTTAAGTRAATAATGATAAACCCGATCTACTCAACGTTTAGTTCAGATGAGTCCATTCTTATATTTCTCTCCTATTACTTTTCTGTTTTTATAAAAAAAAATTCTTAAAARCTATTGAAAATTGTTTTAAATTKTTTAATTTAATTCTCTGATTTAAATTTCCAATCTTGATAGCCAATACATATAACATTGTTTTAAAAGTTACTTAGTTGAATAGTTATTTATTTTCCAACCAATGTAAACATTATATCTTATAGTCATATTACTTTTGATATATTTTTCAGGTATTATTCTTGAGTGTATTAACAGCTTTAGCAGCATTTGCATGTACTACATATGATACAGCTATTATGTCTGGTAGCAAAGTGGAAGCCAAAGTTTCAGAAACTTGGCGAGCATTAAATTGCTGTCGGTGTTATGGTGCTGTTCTTGGATGGATTATTATTATTATTATGAAGCCTAAAGATCAATTAGCAGAATTTTTAAATACTAATTAGTTTTTAAGAAAAAAAATATTTTTTTAAAAATTTCACTAAACATATTTACTATTTAACATTTGGGKAATACACCAATTTATGTTAATGAGTTTCTATATACTCAGGTGTCATAGACAGAGGTTAAAGTGGGAAAAAATTCCTGAGGGGACTAATGTCTCCATATAGTTTTAAGCGTTCCATACATAATTTTATGTATAATGTCTAATGTATAAAATCCTAATTTGTTAAAGGTGACGCTTTTTMACGGCGAGTACCACAATTTTTTTTGCCGTATATAATAATCTACTTAAAATATTGTCAACAATAGGTGCTAATAAAATAACAGTATGAATCTGAAGCAGTGGTTAAGAGAAGTTAATGAATAACCCGTTATATAATATTTAAAATACTAAATTAATTTTATATTATTGTATAAAGCCAAAACGCAGTTAATTTAATTACAGGCAACTAGTTTTACCTGTATTTTTATTGTATTTGGATAAACTTTTTAAAAAAACTTCATGTAAATAAACAGTATTAAAATAATATCCATAGTATTACGGGACAATTGCTTGCACC